TCACTAAACTTGACCTCAGGAACGCTTACCATCTGGTAAGAATCAGAAAGGGTGACGAGTGGAAGACTGCATTCAAGACTCCTCTCGGCCACTTCGAATACCTCGTCATGCCTTTCGGACTCACCAACGCCCCCGCCGTTTTCCAAGCCCTGATCAARGACGTACTCCGTGACTTCCTTGGTGAGTTTGTTTTTGTTTACTTGGACGACATATTGATTTTTTCCCGTGATCCTGCTCAACATGAGAATCACGTCCGCACTGTCCTCCAGAGACTTTATGAGAACCAACTTTTTGTAAAAGCTGATAAATGCGAATTTCACGTTGACTCTGTATCCTTCTTAGGATTTATCTTTGAGAGGGGGCAATACCGCACCGACCCCGAAAAGGTTCGGGCGGTATCCGAGTGGCCCACGCCAACTGACCGTAAGCAGTTACAGCGCTTTCTGGGATTCGCTAATTTTTACAGGAGATTCATAAGGAATTACAGCAGAGTAGCGGCACCCCTAACTCAACTCACCTCCACACTCAAGACATTCTCCTGGACCCCTGAGGCAGACAAGGCTTTTGGTAAGCTCAAAGAACCCTTTTCTTCCGCTCCTATTTTGTCACATCCTGACCCCACTCGACAGTTCATCGTGGAGGTGGACGCCTCAGACCTTGGTGTTGGAGCAATACTGTCACAAAGGTCCAAGGAAGATAACAAGATCCATCCATGTGCTTTCTTCTCTCGACGTCTGTCCCTCGCAGAAATCAATTACGACGTAGGTAATCGTGAGTTACTAGCCATTAAACTCGCACTCGAAGAYTGGAGACATTGGTTGGAGGGCACAGAGCAGCCTTTTATCATATGGACTGATCACAAAAACTTAGCATACCTTCAGAATGCAAAAAGATTAAACCCACGTCAGGCCCGCTGGTCATTGTTTTTTGCCCGTTTCAATTTCTCTATTACTTAAAGACCTGGATCCCGGAACTTCAAACCGGATGCCCTCTCTCGGCAATTTTCCACCACCAACTCTCCCAAGGCCGAAATCAACATTCTCCCCACCTCCTGCTTCGTTGGAGCACTTACCTGGCCCATTGAGGCTGACATCATGGAAGCACAAAGGAATGAACCTGATCCCGGAACTGGTCCACCAGGTAAAATATTCGTGCCTCAATCGATCGTTAATAAAGTCTTAGAATGGATTCACTGTCACCAACTCACCTGTCATCCTGGAGTAAACCGCATGCTCAACTTTACTAAGAAGTATTTTTGGTGGTTCAGTCTTAATCAAGACGTAAAAGAATATGTTTCAGCATGTCCCACCTGCGCTCGCAGCAAATCCAAGACCCAGCCTCCAGCTGGACTCCTGAATCCTCTTCCCACTCCTGGTCGGCCTTGGTCCCATATAGCTTTGGATTTCGTTACTGGACTACCCCCATCTGAAGATAATACCGTTATACTTACAGTTGTGGACCGCTTCTCAAAATCTGTAAATTTCACAAACAAATGGACAATCAGAAGTAACCAGGAACTGGAGGCCGCTCTCAGGTGTGTCATATACATGAACCCAACCACTTGGTGTAAACATCTGCCTTGGATTGAGTATGCACATAATACACACACATCTTCTGCTACCGGGTTATCTCCTTTTGAAGCCTCTCTTGGATACTCACCACCTTTATTCCCCAGTTTTGAGGCCGAGATCGTGGTACCCTCAGTGCAACACCACCTACGCAGATGCCGTAAGCTGTGGCGTGATACCAAAGAGGCTCTCCAASGCACTGCAYAGGACAATAAGAAGTTTGCTGATCGTCATCGTACTCCTGCTCCTGTTTATCAGGTTGGTCAAAAAGTTTGGTTATCCACTAAA